TGGTATGATAAGGGGTAACAGTTTTAAGCTAAAAAAGGATAGGTTTAGATTAGATACTAGGAAGAAATTGTTGCTCCAAGCATGGTGAGGCACTGGCATAAACTGCTCAGAGATGTCATGGATGCCCCATCCATGGAAGAATTCAAGACCAGGCCTTGGACAACCTGAGCTGCTGGAAAGTGTTCCTGTCCTTGGCAGGGGTTGGAATTGGATGGGCTTTAATGTCCCTTCCAACCCAAACCATTCAGTGGTTCAGTGGTTCAGTGGTTCTGTGATTCTACGATTCTATGATTCTGTGGTTCTGTGATTCAATTCAAGATCCTCCTAAGGGTTAAAGGTATTTTCCTTGGCCAGCTTGAGCCCTTGTCCCTGTTTTGTGAGTTGTGAGCTAAAGTACAAAGAAACTTCAGTCAAAAGTCATAGAGGAAGTCAGAGGGAAGGGGAACTGAACACAACTAAATGAGCCCAGCATCTGGATCACGAGGCACAGCCCAAATGAATCTGCAAAGCTCATAGCAAAACAAGGAGATAACAAATATTTATGTAACAAGTATTTTGAATGCAAATGGTGTCCATTTGGTTATGCAGTGCAAAACTTCCCTGTGATAATACCAGGAATAAAGTGGCTGGTTTGCTCAAAGGTGTACAAATACCACTTCCACAGTGCAACACATACTGTGATTTTATCTGACGTGCATTCCTCCACCACCTGAGGTGCCCTATTCCCATAGTATTTTTATGTCACTGCATAGCTTGCAGGCCAAATAAAAGCTCAGCCTCTCACTCCAGCTGCGTTCAAGGAAAATGTTTGGATTTGGTCATTGGGTTTTCTTGTTTTTCAAAATGATGTTGTGAATGTTATTGGAAAGATGAGTCAGGGAAATGAGTTTTGTAGTTCTGGAAGCAAGGGCTATTGCCTGTTTTTTTAAAATACTGTAACCCCAAGGAGCCTCAGGGCAGCCTCTGAACTAGGTTTTGGCTCTACATTCTAACATTATCCTAGAAAAAGACAAATATCCTGAGTCATCTGGTGTCTGTGTTTAATAAACCTTTCTCTCGCCTCAAGTAAAAGGGCTTTGTTTGATCAAAAGTGGGTGAATCATAAATATCTGGTCTAAACTTTGTTATTTCATAGTAAAGGAGCAAATAAGAAGCAGTATATCTGAATGCACAGCAATGCTAATTTTGTCTGGTGTGCTTTGCTATTTTCAATCTCCACAACAACAGCCATGTGACAGAGCAAAACTTCCTTTCCTTCAAAACAGCCCTCTGGATTAAAAAAAAAAAAAAAGGAACCAGTTTAATATCAAATGGGAGAAATTACTTTTTAAACGGGTATCAGTTTTAAACTGCATGCTCTCAGGCTATTAGAAAAGTGTTTTTCTTGGATTTGAGCTACCACACTCTATGCAATTATGCTAAAATGGAAATGCCTAGATTTTGAAACCTTAATAACAGGGTAGCGACTGAGATTTTTCAACATCTGCACAGTGTAACCTTCAAATTTGTGTTGCATTTATGCCATAAGTCCCAAATCCTATGCCTCTGCTGCTAAACCACTCATGCAACTGCAGGGTCCCTGGTACAAAACAGATGTTGATACAGTGGAATGAGCCCCGTGGAGCACCACCAAAGTGCTTGGGGATGGAGCACCAGTTGTGCTCTGGAGGTGTGTAGAGGTCCGTTTTAAAGTAGGTTATTCCATTATTATTCTCTTGTCCCTCTCTGTAGACAGTGCAATGCCACCCTGGTAACGCTTTTGGCTTTGTCTCACTTTCAAAAATGAGGACTTGTAGCCGTGAGATGCCAGGCAGTGCGACTCGACTTTGCCATGTTTCTAGATACGCTTCGACACAATGTGCTTTTGTACACTGAGAACTGAAACGTGGGCCTTATGTTACTAGGCAGGGTCTTCTAAAAGGCCCTGCAGAAACTTGCAAGGGTCAGGAACTCACGTGCTAGGACAGACCACCCATAGCCACCACCTCCCCTTCCCACTGCAGAGCTTCATCTAGCACCAATGTCTTCTAAGTACAGGTAGGTCAGTTTCCCCAAGCCACAATTCTCCCAGAGTTCCCCCATAAATGTCAGATATTTTCTATCAAAATAGCTCAGAAGGAAGCTTACTAGAGCATAGAAAAATCATCTCCCTTAATTTTGGTTCACTTTTCTCTTTTACTCTCCTTCACTTAGTTTTGCTTATTTTTTTCTGCAACTTTCTTTTTTCCCCTCCATTTTTCTTTTCAAAACCTCAGTAAATTTGTTTACTCCTTGATCTCTGGATTCTTGTTTTCTGACTAGATTCTTCTGCTGCTGCTCCTTCTGATTCCAGCCTCTTTCCTGATTACTTTAATTTTTACTCTTATTCTTTCTTCTCTTTTCCCTTTTTGAAAATGAACAATTGTCCCTTAAGGCCCTTTTCATTTTCTCCCTCTCCTCCATTCTCTCACCCGTCTTCTTTCTCATTCTGTGATCTAATCCTTTTTTCTTTCACACAGCTTCCCATTCACTCCATATTCCAGGGTCCATCTCCACCACAATTTCCTGTCTTGTCTTTTTCCTTCAGTTGATTTTTCTCGGCATTAACTGCATGACTAAATAATTGGCCAAGGGTTTGAAGCTTTTTCCTCTTTCCTCCTCCAGGGAAAAGTGCACAGGGAAAAACCCATCCCTTGCCCCATCTGTTGGTGCTGGCTATGTGACATTATCCTGTTGCTCCTCAAGTATTTCCACATAGGGAGTGAAGTAGCTAAGACATCCCAGAGGTGCCTCCTCCTCAGGAAATTCTGCTGTGTCTCCATTCCAACTCTTTCTACCTACACTGGTTTTGCCAGATGACCTAATGAGATGGTACCTACATCTGTCTTCTGTTCACTGCAGGGGAGTTGGACCAGATGACCGCTAAGGGTCCCTTCCAACTCAAACAGTTCTATGATTCTTTCAGAAGCTGCTGCTCACCGTGTCCCCAGTGGGCACCTTCAAATAACAGCCTGCTTCTAATTTTGAACAGCATCTTTTGATGACCCTTCCAAAGACTCCTGAGCAAACCACACAGTCCCCACTCCCTAAAGTACAGTAACAGCATCTTGAGGTGTGTTCTCTCCAGACAAAGGAAAACACACGCTCTCTTTTTCCCTTCAGGACAAGCCAAACATGACAAACTTCTGTGCACTGTGCTCTCAAGCTGTCCTCTCCATATAAATCACATCTCAAGTGTGTTTTGTAGCCAGTCACTTAAGTATATTTCCAGAAAAGTGCCTCAGAACATGAAAGAAAAGACACCAGAAAACGGCAGCACATTTAAAAGCTGGGCTTTGTTTCCCATCCAAGGTTAATTTTTGGATTCTCTGAAACTACAGATGGATGACAAGAAACGTGGAATATTGAGAGAGTGTAATAATCTTGTGTAAACCTCTCACACCCACCCACTCTCCCTTTTCTGAATCTGGGTGAGTCAGACAAGTCAATTTCAGGGAAAAATGACTTTGAAAAAGAACTCCTCAGTGCCAAGCTCCTGGGGACAGACAGAAGGTGCTGCCTTGATCTCACCCTGCTAGGACAACCAAACAGCCCTGGCTGATACAGATGTACAACAAGGGAAAGCAAGCCTCACACAGCAGCCAGTCCCTCTTACTCAGATATATTTAACACAGCAGGCAGGGCTTCAGCAGCTTCTGTAGGATTAAAGGTGACTCAAGTGTAAGGATTCAGTGGAGTGCAGAGGCCATCTGCTGCATGCCTCTTCATACCAGTTGTCTTATTCTTTCTGTGCCCACTCTGGCATGATCTATAAGCAAGTTCCCTTATGGCAAATGCAAATGTATATGCCGCTGGATGACTTTGTTAAACATTGTTTTCATCCAGAAGGAACAAGACATCGGTTTGTACCTGATGACCCACTCAGTTTTAGCAACTACCCAATGGTTCTACATTAAAATCCTAGGGATAATAAATAGTTCAGAGAATCATATAATTGTAGAATCATGAAGATTGGAAAAGACCTCTAAGATCACCTAGTCCAACTGTCAGCCTATCCCCACCATGACCACCAACCATGTCCCTCAGTGCCAAATCTATGTGGTTTTTTAACAACTCCAGGCACTGTGACTCCATCACCTCCCTGAGCAGATTCATTTCTACACCATGAAGATATGAGTACAGAAGATTCTGGTACTGAGATCACCAAACTCATCCTGAAATCAACAGGTGTGGAGCCAGAAACAGGGCAGATTCACCAGCAACAGTTTCCAATAAGAAGGGCAAGATCCCAGTAGGTACAACCACTCAGCTTTGGGTGCTTAGCTTTTGGGACTCCAGCTTCTGTGTTCCCTTGGTAACACCCTGGTCCATGTGCACATACACAGCTAGGCAGATCTAAGGCAGGGATTATGAACACCACGAGCAGCCCAGACATGCCTTCAGGTTTATCCAAACCACTTGGCAAGCTCTCCTCCTCTGCGCTGAAAATTCTTGTAAATCCTTATGTGTGACCTCTGATCCTTTTGAAAATATCAGGATATGCCCAGGTAATAGCTAACAGTCATTGATTACAGAGACCAACATTTAATTATGCTGTGAGAGATTCAGGGGAAACTAACAGTAAGAGCAGTATATTCATTGAAGTGTCTTCAAAGTCTGTTTTCTCTAGCAACCACAATGAACTTTGCTGGGTAGAAAAGACAGCCTTCTTTTTTCTTTTGCAGGAAAACACAGCTTTCAATTAAGAGAGTATCACTGTCATACAAATTTCGACATGAAAAAGACAAATTGCTTTCCATGTTCATTTCTTCACTGAATTTTATGTGAGTTGAGTAAACTGGAACTGTGGAACTGAGCATCTTTTCTCTGTGTGATACAAAGTGCTGAGAGCATTCCATCAGGAAGACTGGGATGGGATGGGATGGGATGGGATGGGATGGGATGGGATGGGATGGGATGGGATGGGATGGGATGGGTTGAAATAGGTTGGGACAGGGCGGGATGGGATGGAACATGACAGGATGGGGCAGAATGAAATGGGATGGGATGGAACAGGATGGGATGGAATGGAATAGGATGGAATGAGACAGAATGGGATGAGACAAGACAAGAAAGGATGGGACAGGATGGGATGAGACAAAATGAATGTGTATCTTGCTGCACTTCGCCCACTGGGCTGAAATACCAATTCCAGTGAATTCAGTATCAGATGATTTGGTGGCACTAAGATGTCAGCTCAGATTTCCCACTCTAAGCTTGATGATTCCTTATCAACACATCTGTCAGTATTTACTGGCCAGCAGGTCTCACAGGCAAATTCAAAAGAACAAATCCATTATTGTGGCACCATTCCTGTCTTGGCAATTTTCAGGATCTGACCTAGGTGCCTAAATTACACAACCAGCCTTCTAAGGATATCTCAGCAGTCAATGGAAAGGAGAAAGACATTCATGAGTACAATTCAGAGTAAGAAACTAGTACTGGGGCCTGTTCTCCTCCATTAATTCTATAGGAAGACAAAGTTATTGTCCAAATGTCCATACTTCACAGAATCAGAGTCACATAACGGTTGAGGTAGGGAAGTGTTTGATCTCTGGATCTCCCCCAGCCCCTGTGCCAACAAGAACAGGAGCATGCCAGTGCTCCATCACCTGTGCAGCAAGGAAGTGCTCCTGGTGTCCAGAGGGAATCTCCTGTGCTCCAATTTGTGCCCATGGTCTCTGGTCCTGGCACCAGGCACCACTGACAGAGCCTGGCTTCTTGGCACATCCCCATCAAGAATTTATGGACACTGATGTCCCCCTGAGCTTCCTCCTCTCCATCTGAGCAGCCCCAGCTCTCTCAGCCTCTCCTCACAGGAGAAGCGCTTCGGACTCCTCATCACCTCAGCAGCTGTCTGTTGGGCTCTTCCCAGTATGTCCATGCCTCTCTTGCACTAGGGGCCTTGGAATTGGACCCAGCACCCCAGGTGTGGCCTCACCAGTGCTGAATAGAGGGGAAGGATCATCTCCCTCCCTCGACCTGCTGGCAGTGCTTTGCCTAAGGCAGCCCAGGATATCTTCTTAGTAGCCAGGGCATGCTGCTGGCTCATGTTCAACTTGGTGTCCATCGCTGTCCATTCACATTCTGTAACTCTCTTCTCTCTGCTTCCAGTTTCTTATCTGGAAAAGAACCCTTTGCAACACCAGTACAATCCATCTGCTCTGACCACTGGGAATAAAAAATAATTTTTGAAGAGGTAAGACTATTTTGTAGATAAAGCGAAAACTGCTATCAGTATCGATGTTTCTGTTCACATTTTGAGCAGCTTTCCTTCAGACTAGCAAAGCACAATATCTGAAAAATACCCAGACCTTTCTCTTTACAGTAATACAGAAAAGTCACTGGGGAGTCTTGACCATGTTCTGTACGATCCATGTGGTGCAGCTGAGCTTAGACTGCACTCCTGCATTGCTCATAAGTTGTCTTTATCTCCCATTTATGCCCAGACGGGACTGCTTTAATTAAATTTTAGATAGAACAAGGAAAAGACAAATTAGAAAAATCAGAGCTTATAGTAAAATTGTGCCTGCATTAGCCAGTGGACAATTGTATTTAATTAACAGTTGCTAAATCTTCGGAACACCATCTTGCCTGTTAATTACTATATTTTAGCTAAATAATTCTGTCAAGTGTATTTATCACTAAGAGAGCCAGGACTGTAAAATCAATATGTGGGAAGATTATGAATGGAAGCTTAGCTTGAAAAGGTGTAGAAAAAGCATCAAATTTTGATTTTTTGTTTTCTGCTGGGATAAATTTTCCTCTATAAAAGCTATGAAAGAGAAAGAAAAATATCACTGTCCTGTTTTACAAATTCCAGGGAAGCAACACTACTATTTTACCTATGATTGTTTCTGTCAGAGAAAAAATTGCTGGAAGGACAGCATAACTCCATTTGCAGCAGAGTGACTGGAGACTTGCTGTTTTGTCTGTGGAACAGAAAATAGTTCTCTGTTTATAAGATAGCTTTCTATGAAGGTGAAATGTTATTTTACTGATACGTTTTTAAAAGACAACAGGAGAAAACAATAATAGCTTATGTATAAAGTAAGATGAATAAAGTATGATGGATTTGACTCCTGTTGGGAGTCTCAAATCCTGAGAGATTTAAGCAAGAATAAAAGCAAAAAGTAACACAAATAATAATCAGAATTCACTTCTGGGAGGAAAAAAAAGAAAAAAAAAGCTTTTTACTGGAAAAGAAAAAAGGAAAGGGGAAGGGGAAGGGGAAGGGGAAG